GGGGGGGTTTCTAGAAGATATCACCAAGGACAGATGCAATAGTTAGTCAAATAAATACATACAAGGCTAGCTAGCTAGTAATTCCCAAATATGATTTTTAACTAAATCTGAAGCCATCATCTGTATAAAATCAAGACAATCCTCGTGTCACTTGCCAGTACATGGGAGTGCAGTAAAAAGAAATAAAATCCTTCTAACTGCTATAAAATGATTTCCTAACAAAATAGTCTCAAGAAGGACGGAGAAAAATCAGATCCCTCACCAAATTCCTACACCTTAAACAGAAACTACAATAATACAGAGATCAAACACGGAAACAAAATACACAAATGCACCATCAGTAGAAGCATAGTTTCTTAAGTGTCTTATGACTAATTGATTGTTGTCCATTCATCAAATCAATGGGATTTAATCTGAGCAAAAACTATAATATAACCCCCTTTTTAGCAAAAACAGTGATACAGTTCAGTCAACAAGGAAATGGAGAGCAGCATACCCCTTCTTCACGTTGTTTTCTCAATTCCTGAATATGTTCGTAAGTCTTGTCCCTCTTCTCCACAACTTCCTTCAATTCCTCATCCAATAAGTTGATCTGCTTGCTTATGGCATCAATCTGATCATCTATTTGCTTAAGCTTGGCCTTAACCTCCTGCTGCCCCTTCCGAACTCCATCCAGGCCAACACTCATAAGCTACAGCACCACAAAGTGTGTTAGCACAGGCAGATAACGGCAAAATCACATGATATATTTTAGGGATAGAATGTTTTGCATCTATATAAGAGAAACATAACCTAAAAGCCTTACTTTGACCTGGTTCTGGATTGATTCTTTTTCACCCAACGATTCATGAATCTGTGCCCTTGCTGCAGCCTTTTCTTTAACAGCTTCCCTTGTCCCTTCAAGTTGTTTGATTTCCCGGAGAATTTGCTTCTCTTCGTTCAGAGGAATGCTTTCATGCTGAATGCGGTACTGCAGACTCTTAATCTACTCAATTGCCAAAATAAAATTGGCATTATTTATTTGCAACTGAACTCAATGAGCAAATGCAAAGGAGAAGAGCTAAGAATAATGATGGAACAAGCCTAAGCTGAAGGATAATTAAAGTTAAAAACAAGTGCTTACAAGGCTATTGAGCTCCTGCTCGGATGAACATACTATAGGACCCCTTTCTCGGCCTGCATCTCTACCACCGCGGAGCTGACCTAAGGCCTGTTGCAGAGGTTCCATTTCCTTTCTTTTCTCATCAATAGTACTCCAAAATTCCTTATTCTCAGCACTGAGAGATTTCCTTTGTTCAATTACCTTTGATCGTTCTGCCTGCAAATACTCAAGGAGTTATTTAATTATAGCTGTCATACTCCCATAAGAACAGAGTTTGGACAAATTGGCAACTAACAAAAAGGACCGTGCAATAGGCAATATCAACTTTCCGTAGCTTGCTGAATATGAGGAGATATAGTTAAAGTGCAGGATAAACTGAGAGATTTCCTTTGTTCAATTACCTTTGATCGTTCTGCCTGCAAATACTCAAGGAGTTATTTAATTATAGCTGTCATACTCCCATAAGAACAGAGTTTGGACAAATTGGCAACTAACAAAAAGGACCATGCAATAGGCAATATCAACTTTCCGTAGCTTGCTGAATATGAGGAGATCTAGTTAAAGTGCAGGATAACAAGATCCTCTTCATCTTTGACTTGGTAATATTTTCAAGTCAAATTGTAGGACAGCAATGACATAATAAAAAAAACTGAAAAATAAGTCATTAAGCGTGAGTCTATTGCAACTTCTGTTACCATCCTTTTTCTTGCACTTATCGGCGTCCGACTGGGAACTATATATTGCTTTGCTGAGTTTATTCCTGAAGTCATCCATCACTTTACCAAAGTTCTCTCCGGTAAGAGAACTTTGGCATGCATGAGCAAAGGTTCTCTTTTTCAAGTAAGAGACATAGCTTGCAGTTTCAAACACTTACACGGATATGTGCATGCAAGAAAAGAATGTATACAAGGCAAGAAAATGAGAAAGAGAGAGATGAGGGATCACGTTATAAACAACTCCTAGACTTCTGAAAGTCCAAGAGAGAGAGACTATGTTACCCAACAATACCAAGTAACATAAACAAAATATGCTCTTGAAATATTCAGCCGAAGTTAGATTCACCCAAAAACTTACCCTTTTAGCCTTTAATTTTTCAATAATCTGAGATCTTGCTTGGTTCTTTTTCTGTAGCTCTCTCTCAGCCAGTTCAATTTTAGCCTTCAGTTTTGGGTCTTCAAATCTCCGAAACTTAACAATATAGAACGAATGGATCTGCTTAGGTTCAGGCCAGTCCTCAACCGCATCCTTTGGTACATTGCTCACAGGTGTTCTGCTTACTTCCTCCTTCTTAGGTTCTTCAGTACCGTGAGAACCAAATTTTATAGGCTCGGTAATCACTGAACCATGACTCATCTTTCCATTTTCTTTCAGAAGGTTGTTGTGCTCACTTCCAGCTTCAACTGGAACATGAACTAACTTAGCTTCCACATCTATCCCCATTATTTTAATAAATTACAAAACCAAAAAAGTGCCTGATCCTGATACATGCAAACATTGAACACATTAGCAAATTTATGTACTTACAAACTACTACATAATCCAGAAGATACACAATAGTTGATAGCAACAAGAATAATGTGATATGCAAGACTCTTAATTTATCGACTACATATCAAGCTCAAGATGGACTAAACTTTAAAACTATTGATGCAGAATGATTCAGCCCACAGGATCCTATTAATCCATGATCAAGAACTAGGAACCAACCAGAATTTATTGAGCAGTTAAAAAAATAGATCTTTGATCACAAGATCAGCTATTCACTCAAACAATCAGAACAATTACAAAAGATTTAAAATAGCATCATCTCAGAGGAAAAGCAAATAATAAAAATCTCATAAACCTTAAAGGACAAAAAAATCAAAACCAAAGATTGGATCTTTAACAAAGAAAAGGTGCATCCAACACAAAATCAAATGCCATCTGTACATTCATGCAAAAGAAAGCAAAAAAAGAAACTAAAAAATAGTTCAAATCGCTAACTATAATCAGTAAAAATATAAAATCACATAAAGATCAGATTTTTGCAGCAAAAGCACATAAAGATCAGATTTTTGCAACAAAAAAATGATAAATTAAGCCACCATCCTGTCAAAAACCAAAACCCAAATCATTTCTACTAAATTAAAGTGAATGGAACAAAAATTACGTTACAAGGATCAAGATCAATACAGATCGAAAAAATCAAAAAAAAAAAAAAGGGACATAAACCCAAAAAGGGGAAAAACAAACAGGGAATAATACTAAGAAGAAACAGTAAAGAAAAGAAGCAACTGAATTAGTAAAATGAAGGAGACTTACTGAGTATAGGAAAAACAAAGGGTTTGAGATTTAGAGAAAAGAGTGCTGGCCCCTTCCCTTTGTACCCTTATTTGACAAAAATTGAAGAGGGCCGTCTGAAAGAGAGATTGAGAGAAATGAGTCAGACTTCTTCAGATCTCTCTCTTTCTCTATTAAAACTCTTGAGAATAGTGAGAGAAAAATGTAACAATATATTTTTGCTATAAATGCTAAATTGGAGAGAGAAAAAGAGAGATGGGATTTTTATTTTATTTTCAATTTCAACAATAGAGATGGGATTGTAGTAGTCTTGTAAATGGGAAAGAGTGGGTGGGGACTGGAGATAGTAAGGAGATTATGGTCTCTTTAAACTGTTACGATAAGTATAGAGAATTGCCTTTTATTATTTTGCCGTTTTCTACGAAGCAGTAAAGAAGGTATCACTGATATTTTTGTCCATTTTTAGCTTTTCTCTTCTTTTTTTTCTTTTTCCTATATAATCTTAGCCGTTTGAATATTAATTTAATTGAAATTTAAAAAATATTGTTGAAAAATAGTTTATTAAAGCTAAAATTATATATGAACATGTATTTTACTTAAAAAAAGTTAAAGATTTATGAGTGAAAGAAAAAATTCTACCCAAAACTTAACCAACGTAATTTTTAGAAAAAAACTGATTAAATTCTATGAATAAAAAAAAAAAAGTAAAAAGAATCTATATCGAAACGGAAACTTATTTGTATTAAATCATGTGCGCTATAATGTATGTGTCCGGATATGTTAAAATCAGCTTAATATGTCAATTCAATTTTAGTGCTTTAAGTGGAAATTTTCCAGCTTATTTCAGTATTTGAGTGGAAATGTACATTAAAACTGAGTAATTTTAAATATAATTGCAGCTATTAGAGTTGTAGAATTTTCAGCTAATAAATTATCAATAATTTCCTATATTGTTCTTCCCTACTATGTTTCGTTGCAAAAGTAGAAAGTTGGAAGTTGGACATATTAGACAACAACATCAACAGCATCGTACCCAGTAAAATCTCACTAGTGAGGTATGATGAGAGTAAAGTATACGCAGATCTTACCCCTATCCCGAAAAGGATAGAGAAACTGTTTCCAAGTTGGACATATTAGATTGCCTCAATATACCATGAATTTGAAAATTCCTGGCGAATTATGAAGGAAAAAAATTACGAATTTTCCAAATGCATCATATGCTCCAACTTCTTACCCCATAAGTTTCACACTTAACAAAAATATGCATAATTATGATTTTTTTCTTTCTTTTTTTAAGAAGTATTCATCAATGTTTTTGAATTTTGAGTGAAAACGGAAGGAACAAAAACAAATGTTAGCCGTTATCAGGTTATTAGTAAAATGTCTAGAAATACTATTTAATTTGTCTCAAATTATCTGTCGTGTTTCTCTTTTACACGCCCATTTCAGAAAATATTAATTAAAAGAGTTTGAATTATTTTAACCTTATTTATGTCTTAAGATATAATTTCTCTTCATGAATATTTACTCTATTCATATGATATCTTTATCTTCAAGAACAATTACTATTAATAAGGGTAAAATGAGAAAAAATAATTAATTTTATCTTGAACTTCTAAAATAACAAATAATTTGAGACGACTATTTTTAGAAATCATGATAGATAATTTGAGATGGGTGTATTAATTTCTATATAGTTTAGTAAGACTAATTTTCCACAATTCTAGTTTGATGCTTATAAAAAAACTACTACTCTTGGGCCATTGGAGGGTTTTACAGAAAGGAATTTGTTTTGAGAATTAGACAACACTAGTGTTGAAAAAAGAAAAAGAAAAAAATAGACAACACATGTGTGGTGTGTAAAATAATTGTACTGAACTGTTGAAAAGAAATTGTATAAACCGAAAAATAATTCTTGTAAAGCACTAGTAAAGAGTATATGCTCTCATTAAAATAAAACTTGCTGTTAGTTGACGGCAAAAACTTACTGTTCTCATTACAACTATTACAAATGAAAGCTAAGGTTATATATTCTCATTACAATATTGTTTTTAAAGAAAGAAAGGAAAAGAGGTCAGAAAAAGAACCTTAATTTCGCACTCATGTATAGCAAAACATTCATACGTATGAGCACTGAGATTTTTTCAAAAGGGTAAGAGAAACTAACAATTCGTGATTATGCAAGTGGCCCACTTACGAAGCAGTATTTGTAGTAGAAAAGAAAATTGGGAACAATGGATAAATAAGACTATGAGACCGTTTGGATATAAAATTTGATGGAAAATTTTTTGAAATCACCGTTTGTTCATAAAATTTTTAATTTTTACTTGAAGATGCATTTTGAAAATTTTCGAAAATTTGAAAAACTGCAAAAAACTGTTTTTTAAAACTTTCACTCAAATCACTCACAAAACTTCAAAAACAACTCAAACTGAACTTTATGTTCAAATACAACTCTAAATTTCAAATACTATTTTTTCGAATTTTATAATTCTTATGTCCAAACGCCTACTATTTCACTTTTAATCAAAGTTCTCGAATTTAAAATTTTAACAATAAATTTTATCTTGATAGATAATTTATCGCCTTATCTTTTATCGAACGTTAAACGGCACAAAGTTCAAATTAATTGAAACGCCAATGTACATAGAGGACACATGAGAGAATTACATTAATCATTGGACCATCACTGTCTTAAACACATTCATTCTTCAATCTTTGCTCTTGTAACCAAAATTTGTCACCTAAATGTATAGACTTACCTCATCCTCTTTCTTAAATTTTCCATTTACTATATTAGTGTTAATTATAAAAGGTCAAAAATCCCCATTTGAAGTAAAAGAAAATAATGGGTTTGTCCTTTCCTTCATTTGTACCTATGCTTTAATTTGCATGCGTTCGGACACGAGCCTTTGAGATATTCACGAGAGACCAAAACAGTATTTGCGCCTTTTTGTTTGGTTTTGATTCTGAGTTTTTTCAGTTTTGATATTTCCACAACTCAAAACACGTGTTGCGGTGTTTGGTTGTAAACTTTTAACGTTTACTTTCTCTCCAGCGTATGCACGTCGTCATATGGTCGTCGATGATTACGAGAATGAGCCATCTTTATTTTTATTACCACTATTGCCCTTCAGTGTCCTCACAATATGGGAGATATGAGTTGTTATGGAAAAAGGCAACATTAGGACGTAACAAATGGATAACAGCTTTGGCCCATCGGATCAGATATAGTAGTGATCTATCTAGTAGTCTTAATTAGATTCTGAAGTAAATCCTCCGGGCGGACCCAGGATTTTAATATGACGGGGCATAATATTTTGTTCAATCTGCCACGGAAACAGAAAGAACGAAAATTTACTTTTATGTTGAAGTCTTTTCCGTTGGAAGGCTGGGGGCGCCTTGCACGTCTTGGAAAAATCATGCTTTGCATCTGAAGTTATTGGCCCATGGTCCTCAGTGAGGAAAGGACCTAGAACAAAGAAGAGGGCCGATAGGAAGTTAAAAGCAATTCTTCTTTCTCGAAAACCTTATGTGAGAGGGCCCACTGGGATATCCATAATTGAAGCATTTTTCTTAAAAGACTGTCGGTTTTTTACTATGTGGCCGATGTCTTTGATGCTTTTGTTTTCGCAGGAAAGGGTAAGGGTTCCAAACGTAGCGTGTGAGTTTTGATGAAGACTTGCATCACTATTCGTTTCCTCGTGGCTCGATTGCTAGTTAGTCTAACCACAGGGGTCCCCTCCTGCTTTCCCACCCACCGTAAACTCTTACTACCTTCAATATTATCAAGAATATTTAGACCTTATAGATCTCAATCAAACCTTTGATCTCACGCCAAAATTTTACTATTGGGATTTCCTATACAGGCGTGGGCCCTCTAAAGACTTTTAGCGTTCAGGGTGCCAAGTGATTTAATTTAATCATTTTTAAGGTATGTACATATACATATACAAGATTTCTACCGAAATTTACGGGATCCGGAGACCCCTCAATATAATACATAGGTCCGCCTCTACATTCCCCCCCCCCCCCNTTTAAGGTTACGCCAATCATTAATCCGCCTATTTGTTGAACTCAGTCCATCTAAAGTTGGACTGATTTTTAGTCCAAATTGAACCATAAGTAACTTTGCTAAAATATATTTAAAAAAATTATTTTCGTTTATATGTTATATATGACCATAATAAAAGAAAAAAAGTCGTATTTGATAATTAAAAAATTCATGAAAAAATAACACACATTATTAAAACTTGATAAGAGTTGGACAAGTTGGCCTGTGACCCAAACTATAGCCCATCTTGACCAAGTTTATCTCAGCTCAAGTAACTTTGAGTGGGTCAATAACTAGGATAAGAGTCGAAGATCAGAAAGTATGCAAAAATACCAAGTCCAAGAGCCTATGTGAATTGCGGACCGCACAAGAATTATGCGCCCGCAGTCCTAAATCTGCGGACCGCAGAAAAGTTGCCTTGTGGCCGCAGTCCAGAAATATGCGGTCGCAGGAGAATGCCTCGCGCCCGCAGTTCAAAAATGTGTGGCCGCAAAACTCCAACTCTTGCCAGATGAAGAAATCTGCGGACCGCACATGGAATTGTGCGACCGCAGAACCTCCCGAGAGGTATTTTTGTCCAAAATTTTCATCCTTGTATAAATAGACGAGTTTCACAAAATTAGGTCAAGTTTGAACCTCTGAAGTTGTTGTAGCCGTTTTTCTTTACTATTTTAGGAAGTTTTACTTTACTTTGGTGTATTTACAATAGATTTACTCATTTTAAGCTTCCATTATAAGTTTAATTAGTTTTTCTTCCTTATTATTTTCAAACCCCATTATGAGTAGCTAGACTTTTACTTGGGTTGTGACCCAACCCTAGTGTGTAAACCTTATGGGTATCTAATTTAGTGATTGTTTATGATTGGGTATTTAGCCTAGTTCATGCTTCAATTTTAGAATTAATGGTTGCAAGCATTTATTCATGCCTATTTGACTCAGTCTCTACTTGAGAAAGAAAGAACTAGTCTAGGATAACTTAGCTAACAAGGAATTGGGTCAATCGATAGATTGATTTATCCAATTAAAGGGTTCAACCTAAAGATAGTAATAACCCAACTTGAGCTTTTATCAACTGTTTTGGGTGATACCCATTTGGTCGTGAGAAAGCTAAAGTGAGCAAAATCACTCTTTGATCGAGAGGTAATTAGTGGGTAATTTAGAGTTGATAGCTATAATACACCCCAATCAACAAAACAAGCATTAAAGTTTTTATCACATTAGGCAAACACCTAGGTAATGGTCACAACCCTATGCTTTTTATCCATTTGGAAAAACCGTAGAAACAATTATCTCTAGTCTTCTTTCTTTATTTTTGCAAT